GCTGTTAGGCGATGCCAGCCTGGCGGCTCGCAGGGACTTCATCTCTGGCTTCACTGCCCTGCACTGGGCTGCCAAGAATGGCAACTGTGACATGGTGGCCAACATCTTCAAAGTGGCCGAGAAGGGGGGGGCACACGTCAATGTGGACGCCAGGTCGCACGGGGGTTACACGGCGCTGCACCTGGCTGCCATTCATGGCCAGGAGAAGATCATCAACACGCTGGTCTACAACTACCATGCCAAGATTGACCTCAGGGACTACAGCGGGAAGAAGCCTCACCAGTACTTGAGGAAAGGCACCTCTGTTACAATCAGGCGCTTGCTGGGGGACCCCAGCACGTACCAAAACACAGAGCACTCCGTGCCCATCAAGAAGTCTACAAAGCTTGCGGCTTCAATCTTGAGCTCCACTAGCACTTTCCTGGGGGTCATATCCGATGACATGGCTTTCTACGATCTCACCAAAGGTTTAAGGAAGCCCTCGACGTTAAACAAGCTCCTGGCTGTCACTACGGGCCCGAGGAGGAAGCCAAAGACCAGAGGAGGCTTCCCTTCATATTCCTCCCTCTCCGAGGTAACAGAGGAGGAGGAAGAGGCCGTCGTGAAACGCAGACCTGTTTCTGAGCTGTTCTTTGGCCACTAGCATCTGCCTTATTGTGATCAAAATTGTTTAGTGACTGCTGTGACTGTCTCAGTTTTCTCTCGCGGAAGAAGTTTGGGTTTCTTCTCTCTGTGTTTGTCCTTTTGGATGTTTAACTATATCAGCTATAGGGTTTGGATCCAAAGTCCACAGGATGAAACCCAGCTCCAGGTGCCTGTGGAAAGGAAGTGCCAGGAAGTGCTATACATGCTGTATGTACTGTCATGCTGGTGTATTGTTGGAGACCACAAACTTTATACTTAATGATTGAAAAGCTGAAACAACTCTGTGTGTGTGTAGACAGGTGAAAATGCTCGAGGTACAGCCTTCTTGATATGTGTTCCTCGGCTGCAGAGGTGAAGGATTGCGTATTTTACACTGTGAACAGCAAGCTGGTAGCTGGCTACTTTAACATGGCTTGTTACCTAGCAGGCTTAAATTATCAGAGGAGAGATGCCTAGTTTTCTATGACGTTTCTGGTTATTTTGGTAACAGAAGAGGGGTATTTCTATTTACAGAAATTGTGTACTTTTTCAAAACAAAGTTTCTCACTATCAGAAATACTAACATAACAATCTCAATTGTTGCTTGATGCATTTTATTAGATGAACAACTTCAGAAAATAAACCCCCAACCTTCAGCACTCAAGTCCCTGCGACTTGCCTACCTCAGTTTGAAAACCTTGTTAGCATTTTAAAATCTTTCTCTTCCTGAAAGACTTTTTGACCTGGTGGGACTAACCACAAGTCTGGATGATACTGTGAACACTGAAACCTGACTATAGTTCAATCAACTTAATCTGAATAAAAACCTTGTTGATAGTGAAAAACTGAACTGGAAAACTGGGAATTAGAGCCTGCAGAGATTCCGAGTAGCCAACTGGAAACAAAGTTAGGCTCCTTTGTCTGATTCTTTTTGTTTAAAACTTGGCCTTTGATTTTGACCTATTGACAATAAATATTTATAAACATTGAGCTTTCTGTTATGTTAGGTATTTCATGATAGAATGTCTGCATGACATCTTAAAGCAATGTTTATCTCGACAGCATGATTCATTGGCCTAAGACTAACTCTTCTTTTACATGATAAACGTCACTGTTCTATATACAGAACTACACGTACCTCCAAAAAGCATGTTAACTGCAGGTTAGGTGAGATTATTTTTCTAATTACTATTTGGTTAAAGTTAATACAGGGAGGCAGAGCTGTGAATAGCAACTGTCCAGTTCTTGGGACCAGTCTGCTAAACCAGCACGTCTTCTCTAAAAACGTGACTAGAAAGCTGTATCGTTCAGAGGTGATGAAGGTGAGCGCAGTGCTGTGCTGGCTCTGCTTTGCAGCCCCATCAAGGGTTTTGGTCTCTGAACTGAAACACTTGTTTGCATGCTCTGCCTTTCTTTCCAAGTCAGTGACTTCAGGAATGTTGTTTTTTTCACCTTGAATTAAGCCTAGTACTTTGTAATTGGCTATAATTGACTTCTCCCAAACACTTGGCAAGGAATGCTGTAGGACTGAAGGTGGAGGCACTGCTCTCTTTACATTAAAACGCT